CAGTCTCCTCAACCCTCTGATAAATTCTGATAAAGAATTCCACAGACTCACTATATTTTGACAAAAAAAAAGTCTGCTTCAGATGTATTCTGAGATTATGCAATTTGATCCTAGGGTTTCCCACAAGGAGCAATAACTTCTCCACTTCTATCGTGACAAGCCCCTTAAGAATATTACATGTTTCAATAGGTCTCCTCATTCTTCTAATATCTAATGAGCTCAAGACCAACCTCTTCATCCCTCCTAAGACAGTCCTTCCACATCTGCAATCAACATAGTGGACCTTCCCTGAACTGCCACCAATTCCAGTATATCTTTCCTTAGATAAGGGCAGCAAAATTGTTCACAATATTCCAGCTGTTGTCTGACCAGTGCTTTACACAGTTTTAGCAAGACCTCCATTCTTTTATATTCCTTTTGAACTAAAAGCCAAAATTCCATTTACCATTCACTATGACATGCTAAACTTAGATACTAGCTTTTTGTGATTCATGCTCAAAGACCCCCCAAATCCCTCTGTGCTGCAGCTTTTTGCAGTCTTTCCCCATTTAATTAAAGTTCAGCTCATCTACTCTTCCTACCAAAGTACATTTTCCTGCATTATATTTCATCTGTCAAGTTTTTCTCCCCACTCACTTGTCTACATTTCTTTGCAGACTGTCATCCTCACCAATTGCCTTTTCCCAATTTTTGTGCCATCTGCAAACTTGTCTATACTACATTTACTTTTTTGTTAATATGTACTGTAAAAATTTGTAGCACTCTACTAGTTACAATTTGTCATCCTGAAAAGGACCTTTAACCCAACTATCTTCTATTAGTTAGCCAACCCGATATATAAGCTAACATATTACTCCTAACACCATGCGCTCTTATCTATCAAAGTAGCCTAATATGTGGTACCTTATCACACAACTTTCAGAAATCCAAATGGATTATACCTACTGATTCCCCTTTCTCTATCCTGCATGTTACTTCCTCAAAACATTCTAATAAATTTGTCAAGCATGATTTCCTCTTTATGAATAAATGCTGGCCAGCCAATGACACCTATGAGTGAATTTAAAAAAAGGGCCATAATGACTGCTCAATTATATGTATTTCTAAATGCTTTGCTACTACATCCTGTACAATAGACTCTAACATTTTCCCAATGCCTGATGTCAAGCCAACTGGCCCACAGTTACCTGATTTTTTTTGTCTTTTTCCCTTTTTAAATAGGGATGTCACATTGGTAGTTCAGCAATCCTCTAGGACTCTTCTAGAATCTAAGGATTTTTAGAAGATTATTCCAAGAAGATAGTGCATTCACGATCTCTGTAGCTACTTCTTCTATCATAGGATCATAAGACCGTAAGATATAAGAGCAGAATTGGGCCATTTGGCCCATCCAGCCTGCTCCACCCATTCGATCATGGCTGATATGATCTCCAACTCCGTTCTCCGGCCTTCTCCCCACAACCCTTGATCCCCTTACTAATCAAGAAACTATCCATCTCTATATTAAATACAGTCAATGACTTGGCCTCTGCAGCAATGAGTTCCACAGATTACCCACCCTCTAGCTGAATAGATTCTTCCTCATCTCAATTCCAGTAGTCCGTCCTTTCATTCTGAGGGTGTGCCTTCATGTCCTCATCTCTCCTACAAGTGGAAGCATTTTCTCCATGTCCACTTTATCCAGCCTCTGAGTATTCTGTACGTTTCTATCAGATCCCCCTTCATCCTTCTAAAAAAAAGTACTGATGAAGATGCTAACTCTGCTTCACCCCTGCCACAGATGTTACCAGACCTGCTGAGTTTTGCCAGCAATATTTGTTTTTGTTTCGAGTCTCCAGCATCCACAGTTCTTGGTTTTATTTTATTCATTCCAAAATAAAGTTGTTAGTCATAGGGCAAATGGGAAGAGGAAATAAATACAATTACTTTCATGAAATTAAAATCACTAAGCAAACTAATGGGGTTAGAAGCCAGTATGTCCCCTGGAACTGATGTGTTGCTCGAAAATGTAGCTTGAGATGTAGTAATGGGGAACAAAGAAATGGCGAAGGAACTGAATAGGTACTTTGCATCAGTCTTCACTGTGGAAGATACCTGTAGCGTACCAGAACTTAAAAGAAATTTGGGACAGAACGTTGAGCCAACTACACCTCATGTGACAAGTGCATCACTCCTCCTCTGGACTTCCTCCAACACCAGCAAACCCTTCCTTAAACATGGGGCCCAAAACTGCTCACAATATTCCAAATGTGGCCTGACGAGAGCTATGTACAGCCTCAACAGTACATCTCTGCTCTTGAATTCTTGTCCTCTTGAAATGAATGGCAGCATTGCATCTGCCTTCCTAGCTAGAAAATTGAACCTGCTTGTTAACCTCAAGAGATTCCTGAACTAGGACTCTTAAGACCCTTTGTGCTTCAGCTTTCTGAAGCCTTTACCCATTTAGAAAACAGACTATGCCTCTATTTTTCCTATCAAAGTACAAAACCTCACATTTTCCCATATGGTATTCCATGTGCCACTACTATACCCACTCTCCTAGCCTGTTCAAGTCCTTCTGTGGCCTTCCACTACCTGCCCCTCCACTTTGTGTCATCTCCAAACATAGCAACAATGGCCTCAGTTCTTTTGTCCAGACCAGCAATATATTATGTGACTCCAACTAGTCATTGGCTGCCATCCTGAAAAAGACCCCATTATTCCCCACTCTCTACTTTCTACCATTCACCCAATCCTCTATCCATGCCAGTACTTTGCCCTGGGCACCATGGGCTCTTATCTTATTTAACATTCTCCTGTGCAACACCTTCTGGAAATTGAAATAGATCATGCCCAGTGGCTCTTCTTTGTTTAACATGCTTGTTACCTTCACATGGAATTCTAACAGATTTATAAGGCATGACTTCCTGTTGACAAATCTATGTTGACTAAGCCCTATTTTACCATGTACTTCCAAGAACTCAGCAATCTCATCCGTAATAATGGACTGTAAAATCTTATCAACATCCAAGGTCAGGCTAACTAGTCTATAGTTTCCTGTCTTCTGCTTCTCCTTTTTTAAACAGACATGTTACATTGGTCATTTTCTAATCCTCTGGGATGCTCCATGACTCTAGTGATTTCTGAAAGATCACCACCAATGCCTCTACAATCTCCTTAGGTATCTCCCTCAGAATTCTAGGGTGTAGTCCATCTCGTCCAGGTGATTTCTCCACTTTTAGGCCTTTCAGACTCCTGAGCACCTTCTCCCTAGTAATAGCCATTCCACTCACCTCTGTCCCAACTTTCTTCAAGTTCTGGTACGCTACAGGTGCCTTCCACCATGAAGACAGATGCAAAGTAACTATTCAGTTCCATTTCTTTGTTCCCCATTACTACATCTCAAGCTGCATTTTCAAGCAACACATCAGTTCCAGGGAACATATTAGCTTTTAACCCCAATAGTTTCCCTAGTGATTTTTCTTTAGTGACAGCAATTGTATTTATTTCCCCTTCCCATCTGCCCTATGACTACCAACTTTTTTTTGGAATGAATAAAATAAATCAAAGAACTGTGGATGCTGGAGACCTGAAATGAAAACAGACATTGCTGGCGAAACTCAGCAGGTCTGGCAGCATCTGTGGCAGGGGTGAAGCAGAGTTAGTATTCTGGGTCCAGTGACTCTTTATCAGTACTATTTTTTGCTATTAATTCCTTCAAAAACGTGTCGATGTGCTTGCTGCCCCTTGAACCTCTGCTATCCATGTGGAGAAATTGCTGTCAGGGAGTGCCATGATTGACCCAGCAATATTGAAGGAATGGTGACATAGTATCAAGTCAGAATGATGTGTGGAGTAATGTGTATACAATCTGAATCCCACAATCCCTTTTCTCCTCTACCCTGCTCCATGTTGTTCCTACTAATTGTGTATTCTTTGTTAGGCCTGTCCAAATTAATTGCCTCACATGGAGGCTGAGGGGTGACCTTGCAGATGTTTATAAAATCATGAGGGGCATGGATAGGGTGAATAGCCAAGGTCTTTTCCCCTGAATGGGGGAGTCCAGTACTCGAGGGCATTGGTTTAAGGTGAGAGGGGAAAGATTTAAAAGGGCCCTAAGGAGCAACCTTTTTACACAGAGGGTGGTGCACGTATGGAATGAGCTGCCAGAGGAAGTGGTGGAGGCTGGTACAATTACAACATTTAAAAGGCATTTGGATGGGAATATGAATAGGAGGGGTTTACAGGGATATGGATCAAATTGTGGCAAATGGGACTAGATTAATTTAGGATAGCGGCCGGGCATGGACGAGTCAGACCAAAGGGTCTGTTTCCATGCTCGACGACATCTGCAGATTGAAGTTGATCCGCTTTCTGCCAAACCTGTGAAGTGTTGATATTTTCCTGCAGTGTACAGTTTCCACTCCACTGTCAGTTTGTGCATCGGCCATTCGCATCCTATCTCTTGCCCCTGCAACAATTTGTCAAGCCTTCAACGTGCTAAACGGCGGAGGATGCAGAACTTCCCAACTGTGAAGATTCCAAATGCTCCGAGATGACATTTTTTTTTCCTCAACCCAGTCCTCCATCCCAAGATTGTCCCTTCAATCTGCGTTTCCCCTGTCAAACCCCTGCAGAAGCTGGCATATGCCACTGAAATCGCCTCGACTCTGAAAACACACACACAGTGCCGCTAAGTTCCTCCGATGAAAATGCCCGCCCTGCAGGAAGCCGTCGCTCTCCCTCCCGCAAAATTCTGACTCAGGCTTCAAGTGACTCCACATATTGCCAGGCCTCACCCGTGCCGAGCAGCTACGGGAACCCTGGCAGCGGGAACTCATTAACGTGATGGAGGTGGAGTGGAGAGGCGAAGGCCCAGCTCTCATTCCGGGTTCTGACCAACAGAACAACGGCTTGTCCGGCTGTGGTGTGATTGACAACAGCCTCAGCCAATAGAACGCGGACATTCGAAACGGCACGTCCCTATCCCATCAGCCCGTGCGCGGGATTCTCTATAAAAAGCGGCGCATTGAGCCACACTGTCTCACTCGGGCGGTGGCTGCAAGGTGGAGTTTAGACTTGCGTTTTTGGTCGATCGGTAGGAAGTAGGAAGGAAATATTTGTCCTGGGCAGCTCGGCTGGTTAGCCGAGACCTTGGGGGTGGCGAGGGTTTGGGTCATCGTGGGCCCCAACCCCAGGCAGGGCGGCGTTAATGGGGCCACGTGTGGTGGCTACGAGGACAGTGAGTGGGTCGGGTGGGAGACTGGATCACCCTCTCTTTGCGGGCTCAGTCCTCGGGAGTGGGCCGACGCTGTGATGAGCTTATGTTGGTAGGGACATCCGATCCGCTGTGATGAGAGCTCCAACATGCTGAGTACACGGCCTTTCATCCCCGGGATATATGCCGTGTGGGATGGGGGCGCTCTGGGGAATGGCCCACCTTTTTTTTGTAGGAATCTGACTTTGTTCCTATGATTGCAGGTTCCGAACCTTCTTGGTTGGAGCAACCTGTAATTCAGGTACAGCACCGGATTGGGGAATTGATTAACACCAGATTCAGGCCATGAGCTCGTCTATGCGTATCCAGTGACTGTGGGCACGTGTCTCCTAGAACGTATCGACTAGGATCAGGCAATTCAGCTCCTCCAACCTGCTCCATTTGGTATGATCATGGCAGATCTTTTGTGCCTTCCCTCAACTGTTCAAATTGCTAATTGTAATCTACCTCCAGTTTGCTCCCTGTCCTTGCATCTGACTCTGGGGTAGTGAACTCCACAGATCTGGAACCCTTTGTGTAATTTCAAGTCCACTACCCCGTGTGTGAAGATGAAGATTGGACACTATGGACAGGTTGTCCTTTTAATATAACCTTCCTGTGACTGATGTGCCTGCTCTTAACTGCCAATGATTAATGAGTAGTGGTCAGAAATGTTTCTGAAAACCTTTCCACAATGAGGCATGTGGCTCCTGTGCAGGGTTTGCATTTTAAAGCAAAGAGTGTGACATTGCTGTCTTTACAGGTCAGGATCTGTCAAGCTGCTCATCGTCTGGCTGAAAAGGTAATTGGCTGCCTTGGTCCCTTTTGTCTTATTGTGCAACCTCTGGACAGTGACATTTTTAAAACTGATAATCCAAATTTGCTTTTGCCAAGGTGCAGGCTCACTTCTCTATAATGAAAGCAAAACTGTATAGCTGTTGTGATGTCAATCATTGAACTTAATGGTCCCCAACATTGGTGAAAACTAATTTGACTTTTGGGCTGTTAGCAAACATGCTTGTTCAGTCCCGTTGAATTGGATGAATCAGTGGTCAACCTTCAGAATAAAATGGAAACTCTAGCCATAATTTAGCCATGGCAAATTTAAAGTCCCCTCAGAAGGCCAGCATATTCCAAATGAGGCTCCACTGGATGAAAACCTTGTGTGAATTGAATTTGACATTGAAGTTTGTAATCAGCAAGGTGTTGAGCCAAAAACAGGGACCCTGACAGTCAGGCTGCAGGGTACCTTTGAGCTACTCTGGGGGAAAGCTTCTGCTTCTTCCTGGGATCAAAAGTGTGCATTTCTTTAGATCATAGTGTGCAGTGATGATGGTTATTTGCTACTCTTGACTAAAAGATGATGAATACATCAACCACCATATATTGGTTCTGAGGCACACAGCTGGGGTTTTTAGATGTGTTCAACCAAACAGCAGATCACTTACCTAGGTGCTTCCTTTGCAGGTATGGCTGATTCTGCATGCCAAGAATCTGGTACCCAGGTGAGAACCATTGTTACTATGTGATGAGATTCAGCTTTGGGTCAGGAGAATCCTTGTAATCAGTTAATAAATTGTTAATTGACCTAGGTCTGAATGTGTAGTTGTGGAGTGGTGGTTTTATTTGTACTGCTGATGATGCTAATACAATTACAATGGGAATCTCTCTGAAAAAAAAAGTGAAAGACTTTGTAATTACTGAATCAGTACAGTAAACATCCACCCCCTTGGTTCTGATTCCAAGAAGACTGACATGCCCCTTTGGGCTAAAAAAAAAATCTGTTACTGCATCCATTGAGCTAGCTTCTAACAGCAACTGGTCCTAAGTCCCCAGGCATTTCCTGAGCTGCCATCCAAATGCTGATTCCTAAGACTTGATTCTTTGTCAACTTTCACTTTTACACAGGATATACAATTTCTTTTGATGTTTAGGACTATCAAATTTACTGCAGTAACTAGTAATTGTGTTCTCTTCCAGATTATCCTAAGGACCTGAGTAAAGGAAGGTAAGTGGAATGTTTGGTTGTGGGATGGTGTGATAGTGAACCCTGTTAAAACACACTCCTGTGGGGTTGGTATCTAAGCAATAGGTTTGACTGATTCTTGCAATTGCTATGAATGTGGCAAGTACCAATGACCTGGCTCCAAAACACATCAATTTTACAAGTGTACAAGGAAAAGGGTTGGGGGGGACAGCAGTCTCTTTAACCAGCTGTTGTCTTAAAAGATCCAAGTCAGTCTGTCCTGATCACTCAATTTGAAAATTGTTGTCTGTGCATACATTAATGTAGTCTACATTGGGAGCATATTGATAGCTGAAATTGTGTTTACAAGCCACATGCCAGTCTGCCTGTTTCTCAGGTACATTGCAGGAGCAGTGTTTCAGCAGTTCCAGCCTACCAGGATTGGAATGATGAGCTCATAGTTCAACAGAGAACTAATGAAGATTTGAGCATTAGTCTTTCGCTCCTATCTGACATCTCCTGCTACTGAAACTTCAAAGCTGCATGCCAGTCTTTTCTGCTCTGAATTAATTCTTGTTTTAGATTTGCTGCTAGATGTGAACAATCTTTGGATGTATGACTCCACAAATGTTCAGGTGAGAAATTTTTGCATCTTGAGCTTTGACTGTTAAATGAGTTAATAGGGATGCTGCTGAGCTGAGTTCTGCACTGGCTGTCTCTACTACTTGCATTAATGTCACTAGAGAGATGCAACTTTTGTAAATCATGTTGATTTAATTTTGTTTCTCAGAAGTTGCCTTTTGTAGGCACTCCGGGTCTGATTTCTCACCAATCTCTTGAGACATTATATGCAGCATTCCATTATATGGAGTGTTCACCAGAGCAATTGTTTTGAGTGGAATAGCTTCCTGTCTGCATTCACAACCTGTCCTGTTGCCTTTAACACTAGGACTGGCATTTATTGTGTACTTGGAGGTAGCAAGAACTGCAAATGCTGGAGCCAGTCAGTAGTGTAGAGCTGAAGGAGCAGGAGAGTTGATGATTTGTGCCTAGATGAGCCCTGATGAAGGGCCTAGACCTGAAATGTTGACTCTCCTGCTCCTCTGCTGCCTGACCTTGTGGGAGCTAGAGGAACACAATTCATTGTATACTGTTTACCTCATATTAGTTCTCAATTCATCATTCAACTAAATTCAATTTGCTATTGTTTTGCCCATCTGGTCTGTCTTTAGTCTAAGGCTTTCCCACATTTTAATCAAAGCATTGATTGCCTCAACATCCACGAACTTACTGATCACATACATTCACTTTGGATTGAGGGTACCCTCAAATCTGGGTGAGTTTATGGGGCATATGGTCATGGCCCTTTAATTCCAGGGCTTGTATTTTTTTTAAAAAAACCCCTTTCCACTCAATGAAGGATGTGCTGAATGCCATACACTGACCAATTAGGTGCAGAAGACTATTCCCAGAGTCTGCTCTGCAAATCAGTAAATCATATTTAATCTGAATTTGAAGGCCATTCAGCCCATAGAACTTGTGCCAGTTTTGACCTTGTCCAATTGGCCCCATTCCTGTATCCCCATGGTTGTAATGTTTCCTTAGTATGTACATTCAAGTAGCTCCCTTTGCTGTGTTTAATTGATTTTCTTCTCCATCCCTCCAGATATTTGATCAGTATTGTGCAAGGACAAAACTGATGGAAGGTGAGTGGGTAGAATTTCCTTGAAGGCTGGATTTTGGAACCTGAACTGCTCACTCAACTCCTGTGAGGTTGCAGCTGGAGATTTTAGCTGAGCCTGATGCAGAACAGTGGGGAAGCTCTATACATGTGCTAGGTGTTTCATACTATTGCTGCATGTGTTCTGCAGATGTATAGTTAATGCTCTTAATCACAGTTGTGCATCAGCCTCTGCTTTAACTACAGTCTGAGAACTGGTTTGGTTTCTTGGGACATCACAGGCACTACATTGTTTCATGGTCTCCCACTTAAGGATTTAATGATGAGCTCATAGTTCAGCGGATAACTGATGAAGAATCAAACATCTTTCGCTCCTATCTGACACTTCCTCTTTACTTGAATATTGAGCTGCACACCAGTCTTTCCTGCTCTGAGTTAATTCTCCTGCTCTTTCAGATTCTTGTGACTCCAGATGAAGTTTGGCTTTGGACCAATCTTGTGCACCAGGTATGTGTGGTTCAGACAGGTTAGAAGTGACTGCACATGCAGTACTAACCAGTTTTGTATGATGTATCTGAATTAGGTCTCTGAAACATGAAGAGAAATAAGTGACTGACAACAGCAGTTAGCTAGCTTGTTTCAGAATTTTCCTGTGATACTTTGTAATTTTCTCCCTTTTGCTTTCCCATAGGGGCAAGAACTATTATGGCATTAATCAGACAGTGTGGAAACAGACCCTCCAGTCTGTCAGTTCAACCAGTCCATGCTGACCATGTGCCCAAACTAAACTAGTTCCTACCTACTTTGTAAGTGACCTGTTCTGTTCTGTTCTTGTCTTGTCAAGTGCCTGTGATGCAAACATGAGACTTGATTTGCCAGTGAAGACTGTCTAATATTAGCTCTAACTGATTATGTGCACATATAGATAAATAAGGTCAGAAGTAGTATTATCAACAATAACTTAACATTACCATTCTGTTTTCAGAATCTCAAGTTGTAGGATCTGGGATCATTGCAGCACCAGTGAGGTCAGTTGTTATTTTGGAGTTGTATGGTTCAGGTGTTGCTATTTGCCTGCAAATGGCAGAGGGAATCATGCTAGTATGCCAATTGACAGTATCCATTTATTTACATCTAAGGGAAAAGCTGGCCTGACATTGGATTGAGTGCCCTTTAAGGCTATAACTAAATGAAACCATTGATGAAAATGATTCTGCCATATGAGCTTTGCTGATTCTACCCCTACCGTTCCATTTCAGTCTGAGGTTTCATGGCCCTGTGAACATTGTCTTGTGACTGTGTAGCTTTTGTGATAATAACATGGTTTCTGCCTTTACAGGGAGCTGCATCAATTGGAGGTTCAGATGACATGGTGAAATGAGATTTTATGGTATCAAGTGGCCTTAAACAAATGGCTTCTGCAGAAAGGATCTAAAAGCACAAGTATCTCTTTAAAGGAAAGGCTTCTGAGGAACTCGAGTGGGATATTACAATCTGGACAGGTGAATAATTAGTTTGTAAAAGTTGGAGTTTAGGTCTTCACCAATCCACTACCATTGGTAGTGGATTAAAGATGGGATGTTGTGTTGATTTTGAATGCAGCATTGAGCAGTTACATTTTTGTGCTTGATTTTTAAGCAGAGCCTCTGCAGATCAGTGAGCAAATGGGGCAGCACATGGGACATGATTACTTTGGGGTGCTTGCTTTCCACAGTTGTCACTTTCTTCCATCTGACCAGGCTGTGGAAATTCTTGCTTGAACATGATCATGTTCTAATTTGGAGGGTTTTTCTACTGGGTTAAACTTGCATAGAAATGATGAGACTTGTTCTTGAACTCTCTCACTGAGAAATGATGAATGATGTTCTGATTCTGTGCCAATAACAAGTATTTGGGTTGACAGCTCATTGAAAATTGCTGAAGCTTCCTACTGGTAACAGGAGTTTGGAAGTTCTGAATGCAGTTATTTTTAAAGAAACTTTTTCCAATGCACATGGTTTGATCATCTTCCTTTGTTCCAGGTGAAAGGATGCCAATCAAGATTGGACTAATTCCTGTAATGTTGTAACAAACAGCAAATATAAAATAAAGTGGAAATGAAACCAAAGATTGTCATGGATTGGAGTATTTTTGAGACTGACAACAGATCCTTTTAAAGCAAGGTTTTGGTGTAATGTTGTAGGTAGCAACAGAATTAAGTAATGCTGTTGAACTTTAATGAGGCATTGGAAGATTGCAGTGATAGGATGCAAGCAGGCTTTCTGCCAGTAAAAGCAACAGTTAGAGAAACTTATTGAGCTGTAGGCATCATTTGGTAACTTAGAATCCCATTTCTATGGGACATCTGCCCAGGCAGGAAGTAATGGATTGAGATGCAAATTGAGGCTTGGCCAGAGGGCACATGTCAAATGAGCACTTACCAGCTTTGAGAAATGAGAAATAGGCTGAATGTTCACTGGCTTACACTTAGGCAAGCATGAGATCCAAGAGATTACAGAACTACCTGGTGTGGTGGAATAGCTGACACCAGGAATGCTGCTTTTCAGTTGAGAAGGACTTTTTGGACTTGGGGTGCAGTTTCCTCTGGGCCAAAATGTCCAGGTTACATTCCCAGCTACTCCAGAGGCATCCTAATATGCTTGGGCTTTTAAAACATAAAGGTCTTTGCTTTTGTGATGTGATTAGTGTTCCTACCTTTGAGCCAGGAGGTCTGATATGGTATCATGCACTTGAGGTATTACAATTCCAGTAGAAATACCTACAGGGCTTGACTAATGCCATCTTGGTTTCTCTCCATCTCCATGGAGATGTGGCCTGGGAGTAGGATCACAATCAATTGTGCAGTGCTGAAGAGATCCTTGTGTTCCACAATACAACCAAACCTATGCTGGTACTAGGCTCATAGTATTGAATATTGTAAATGCAGGTACTTGTTCAAGTACATTGCAAAGTTGTTTCAGAGATAGTAGGAACAGCAGATGCTGGAGAATCTGAGATAACAAGGTGTAGAGCTGAATGAACACAGCAGGCCAAGTAGCATCAGAGGAGCAGGAAAGCTGACATTTTGGGTCTAGATGCTGCTTCAGAAATGGGGGAGGGGAAGGGGGTTCTGAAATAAATGGCGGTGGATAGATGGATACAGGAGACACTACCCAGTGTGGGTGGAGCCAGTAAAGGTCAGTGTTGGGGGGGGCAAGTTAGGGAGAAAAGTCAGTCCAGGAAGGACAGAAGTCAAGGGGGTGGGATGAGGCTAGTAGGTAGGAGATGGGGGTGGGGCTTGAGGTGGGAGGAAGGACAGGTTAGGGAGGCAGGGACAAGCTGGGCTGGCTTTGGGATGTGGTTGGGTAGGGGAGATTTTGAAGTTTGTGAAGTCCACATTACCATTGGGCTGCAGGGTTCCCAAGTGAAATTAGGTGCTGTTCCTGCAACCTTAAGGTGGCATTGTTGTGGCACTGCAGGAGGCCTGGGATGGACATGTTGTCTGAGGAATGGGAGGGGGAGTTGAAATGGTTCACGACTGGGAGGTGCAATTGTTTAGTGCGAACTGAGCATAGGTGTTCCACAAAGCAGTCCCCAAGCCTCTGCTTGGTTTCTCTGCTGTAGAGGAGGCCACAACAGGAACAGCGGATACAGTATACCACATTAGCAGATGTGCAGGTGAACATCTTGATGTGGAAGGTCTTCTTGGGGCCTGTGAGGGGGCAGGTGTAGCACTTCCTGCAGTTGCAGGGAAAAGTGCCAGGTATGGTGGGGCTGGAGGGGAATGTGGAGCAGACAAGGGAGTCTCAGACAGAGTGGTCCCTCTGGAAAGCAGATAAGGGTGGAGAGGGAAAAATGTCTTTGGTGGGGTTGGATTACAGATGGCAGAAGTGTCAGAGGATGGGGGGGGTGGTACATGAGGATGAG